TTTTTTGTGTTTCGAGTCATGGTACTTCAAATGCCGCTGAGGAAATAATTAAACTATGATAAAATCTTTTATAACAGTTAGAGCTACAATGGTTGCCCAAGAGGTGGACGATGGCTTTTTTTCATTTTCAACGTCATAACGCTCCAGGAGCCCTTCAAACTTACCTGTTTTTGACGCATATCTTTTGGACATCATACAGATTTATTGGCATCTACTAACATTTATTGTTTGGAATAGATATACATTGCGATGTATTAAGTTTTTACAATGATATTGCTTTGGTTTTTTAATAGGTGTAGAGCTTAGCTAATTTTAAAATCAATTAAAAACTGTTTGGCTGTTATGTTGCGCTACCTGGCGGATGGCAGACAAACTGCTGATTTCTAGTGTTCAAAACATTTCCGAGGGCGGCGTTGGCGTCTGTATCATCATCAATCTCCGTGTCTTTTTACCTTCACATTTAAAAAATATATTGGAAGATTTACTACCGATAAATGAATGGTTTAAGTACTGGGTCAGGTTAATAAATCTAAGGCAAATAATTACACACGCGTGATATAATGTGTTCACTATTCGGTATGATTGAAATCAATAAACAATAAAGACGAAGAGGAAAATAATACACCCGAGTTCACTTCATGCCTAGAGTCACTAAATGAGCTTTAAAGTCACTCCGTTCCCCGAAATTGTTTTGGGCGCCGCCATTTTGGGTCTTGTCCAGAGCGAACGCAACTGCCGATCGTCATGATCCAAAAGTACGACTTCCTCAGCATTAAATGCGGTGCTAGGAAGCTGATGCAATATTGCAGTGCAATGTCGCGGGTTGTTTAAACATTTGTGAGGGACGGAAAAGCGTTTCCTGTGATTTTATATAAAGCTTCAGGTAACTGGCAACCATGATCTTAAGCCACAATATGTCCACGTGTGTTACTTTGAACCGTAGCTAATTTACTGGCACAAGCGGGAACAATGAGGAAGAGGCAGGTGTCAAAAGGTAGTGGCTTGTGGAATCCACGGGGCTTACGTCATGGCCCCTCCAGGTATTACAAGCCTCTTGAACAAGAGCATGAATAGCGTCATTAAATAAGCTACGCGTCAGAGTAGCGACACTTGGCCATATTGTGGCTTAAAATCATGGTTGCCAGTTATTTGAAGCTTTATCTGAAATCACAAGAAACGCTTTTCCGTCCTCCACTTGAAACAGTGTGCCACAAAGCAAAGCAACATTAGATGAGCTTCCTAACACCGAATCTAATGCTGAGGATGTCGCACTTTTGAATCATGACGATCGGCAGTTGCGCCTGCTCTGCACAAGCACCAGAATGGCGGCGTTCACAACACTGTCGGGGAAGAGAGTGCCGATACTCTAAGCGCAGCTAATTTATTTGCTCTAGTTCCCGCGAAACTCCTTTTCCCTGACTGAAACTGAAAGTAAATATAAATAATACACCAGTATTATAGCTTATTGAGTTATAACCAACTACATATAATGAAAGGAGGAAGCGGCCGGGTAGGAGAAACGCGGGTTTTATGTGCGACCGTTCTAACTGTCTCAAAAGAGAGAACGCGCGAGCTTGCGCTGGTTTAAAAAAAGGCATCCAAAGAAAAGAGGCAGCACGCTGTGCTTTGTTATAATGCGTCTAATTGCAAATTGTTGTGTGTATGTTTATACAGCCGGAAGTTAGTCCACCTTAGTGGGCGTCTGACTCTCAGCTGTAGATGAGCAATTTAGCCAGTGCGGTACAACCGCAAATTTGGGGTCTTTAACGTGCACCATGCAGTAGCGATACACGACCGCACGCCGGTACGATGCTCTTCCAAATCGAAACGGGCAGGGGCGGGGTGGCTTCTGCAGCGCGAGCTTTCGCTCCAAGTGCTCCGAGCTGGTGTGCGCTAGACCATGCACTCGGCCACCGACCCCCCCCCCCCCCCCCCCCCCTTTGTGCGTCTTATTTATATACAGGTATAAGTATTTGAAGATCGACGATGGACGTCGATCGTCTCGAGGTAATGTAACGTAACAACATTATATAAATAATAAACTTGTTGAAGGACTGAATGACTCAATTTTTCAATTCTTGGATTGTAATATGGCGGTAGCCTATTGTACTTACTGTTGATGAAGAGCAATATGAGGTGACGAGGTAATGATTAAATGATGAGGCTCCATAAGGACGACGACATTAGTAGGTGTCGAACCACAACGTACAGTGCCAGACTTGTTTCAAGTATCGTGTACCCAAAGACTTTCTTCACCCGCAACAGAATATGGTAGAATCAATAAGGATGCTGCTTTACAACTGTACGTGGAACAGGAAAACTGCACTGTGCAGAAGTGCGGCTTATTTATTAATAGGAGGGACGGATTTCTAGCAGAATAACCTGATTGACTACTTGGAACAAATGGCCTCGCTGACGTAAAGTGTCCCCGTTCCAAAACATTCTTGAAGCATACTTAAACCGCAAAGGAGTAGGAGGTGAAAAATAAGAAAAAGGAGCCTGGTGTGAAAAATCCAAATCACCACCATAGCTTCTATTATCAAATACAAGGGCAGTTACACAATACACAAAGAGAGTTTTGTGATTTAGTTATATTTACACTCAAGGGCATTGATACCCAACATATTCAGAGAGGTAACACCTTCTGGTCAACTAACATAGAGCCTTTTCTACTCAAGTTTTACATGGAAGGCCCGACTTCCGCTGAAATTCCTTACGTAGACGAGTTGTCCGACCGAATAAACTGCAATTACTCCCGATCTGGGAATCTCTCGATCTTCGTTCGTAAGCCACAGTATCATGAGATTGAGGAGTGTGGCTCTTCGTCCGCCGAATATTGCTTCGTCGGGTGTTTTTACCGTGTAAGATGAGACCGTCGCGTGCTGCTGGAACAACAACCTGGCGACTCTTCACTGAACTGCTTCTTCCGTAAGCTTCAAAAGGGCTTTTATTTTTTGTTTTGTTTCGCACACCATCTGTTCTGCATGCCCGTTAGTTGCAGGATGGTATGGTGCACTAATGTGACGCCTGATGCCGTTTTCTTTTTTCTTCAAAAACTTGTTTATTTTGTTTGAAGCAAGATGTGGCGCGTTATCAGAGAAAAGTATTTTCGGTAGGGCAAACGTAGGTAAAAGAGACCGTAGAACGTCACTGACTTGTTTGGACGTCGTGGCAGCGCATCGTGTAAACTTCTAGCCACTTAGAGTACGCATCGCCCATGACTCCGCAGATGCGGATACGCTTCGGTACCCACCGATTGAATAATGGATCGTTTTCAGTTACTGTTCGTGATGGCGTTGGACTCAAGGAAGACTTCGAGTCTTTCCAGAAAGTTAGCCCAGGTGCCAAGACTTTTGTCGAAAGCGGTAAGCGTTCGAAACGTGGACAACGTCGGTGGCCACGTGTTGTGCTTGACACTGGACACTTACCATTCGCTGAAAAGAAACTTGCTTGTTGGTCTGCCACGAGTCGTCCGATATCAGGTCATCACCGCAACACCATCTCCCGACAAAAGCGCATGTCCATAGTTAGCAATCACGTGAACTTATAAATTCCCGAACGCTCATAACTTACCGTCGCTAAACGCCGTTCATTCATAGCGTCATCATTGCAAATAAACGTCTTCCTATTTCTTCTGATGTTTTTCATCATATTCCTCCTAAGCTGTACTTACAACATTATGTGTGTCGGTACTTCCGAAAATATTGCAACGGCGTTTGTTTTCTGGGAACGATAACGTAACAACCTTTACAACATCTTCCGGACCCCGTGAAACACAATATTTCGTGACGTTATTTTAGTTGTCATTAAAATGGTGAGGTAAGTACCGTAAATCACGAAGCAGTTTACTTCACGTCCGCTTCCACTGGTGTCTTGGAAGATTGAGTCTACTGAGCGTGCATTCCTGCAGAAGAATTTTTCATTGATAGAATATTAACACGTCTATCAATATTTGATACCTTCTTGGTAAATTTTATTGCGAAAGCCCGTTACAACCGCCGAACCGCATTTCCCTATATCAGAGAACAATTTATACCCAGCCTGACATTCTCGCATACATCCGTTTGCTGGGCCACGCTATTTGAGCCAGCTGAGCACAGCTGGCAGCGGCGCGAGCAAGGCCACGAGGGGAACGTGATGGTGCTCGAGCCATCCCACTGTCAACCAATGTTTCGGCCACCCCACGGGTGCGTGTCGCCATCTATTGGTTGAACTAACGCCTTGTTCAAGATGGCTGCCGTGGGACCGCAGCCTTAAATGTAGTTTCTTGTTGTTGAAACCGTTGGCTCCGTGTTATTCCTCCGGGTCGGGTATGCAGCAAGGCAAACCGACCACAACTTCTGTTTGTCATATAACTTTATTATGTCCTAAAATAAAACGTAACAAAAGTTATCATTATCCAAACCAGGTGTATTATCGACAAAAAAGCTCGTTTTGTTTTAAGTAAATGAAATAAAATAACATTTTTTTAACATTTGGCGCGTTTACTCTAGCTTAGAAAGCCGCGTAAAAAGTTTGTTCTGAAGAAGGTATTTGAGCCTGACAAAGCTTCGAAATACCAAAATAATTTCTCTGACGCTCGCCTAAATTCCAAAATTCGCCTTTGGTCCTTTAAAGGGATGGTGAACCGAAATTTGGATTTCAAAAAAACAATGCTGGAGATGTAGGCAGGACGCTACAATCGCTACAACACTACTAGTAAGGCGATATCTCAAATAGACGGCCGTATTTTTGGAAAAAGAAGTCGAGATTGAACCAGGCCGACGAGGCGCGTGACGTCAAGATACCTAGTTTCCTCCTCACTTCGTTTCGCTCCCTCGAGGCCGTGAGGCGGAGAAAACGCGATGCCGTCCCCTCTCCTTCTCGGAGAAGCATGACGTCAACATTCCTGCCAAATGTGCCTCTTTTTTTTTTTTTTTAAATACGGTCATCTGTTCGAGATATTGCTGTATGAGTGATGTTTTGGTGTTTGTAGCACCCCGTTGCACGCTTTTGCCGCGTGTTTTAGGCAATCCAGATTTCGGTTCAGCATCCCTTTAAAAGTAAATAAACTCAAGAACAAAAAATATGACACAAAAAAGTTTTTCAGTTTCGTCCTGGTGAAGAATTTGCCCGTCACATATATTTTCTTCAAAAGCTTTTGAGAAGTGACCCCTTTCTCCTGAAAGATTTGAAATGAAATCGCCCGCTTATAACAATAGCTTGGCTTTCTCAGGCCCACGTTGCGTTGCAAATCTGTTTTTATTCTATTTTAAACAAAACCTTCCCCAAGTCAATCCATCTAGTGGTTGCTGAGCAGTAGGATAAAAAAAGTTACCATTATGCTTTATTATGTTAAGCCCTATTGAACGCAGCAAGTCGAACACAAACTTCGTTGTACCTTCTTTTTAAAGACTTTGCTTGCGTGAACCACGAACACGTGTAGTAAATACTGTGGATCCCCCGCTGGTTTCTCAGTCCAAAACCTGCGGACAATGTCTGCCACGTCGGCCTCGAATTCTCTCCTTGATCCTTCGGGCAGCAATGGCAGAATGGGATCTATGGAGAGCTCCACTTCTGAAACAAAAAAAAAAAAAAAAAAAAAAAAGAAACAAAAAATGGCTGGAGTCATTTTCTTTTACTTAGCAAAAGAGAGCGACAGCATGCAAGTAAAGCAAAATATCTGTAGTCGCTGGCACGTTAGTGAGTGAGCCAGTGAGTGAGTGAGTGAAAGAGAGACGGTGGGAAGACGGAGAGGTTTGCCTGGTTCAGTTGTTCTAGCGGAGGTAGGGGAACAGGGATTTAAAGAAGAGAAAGAAAGAGATGACAAAAATTAAAATAGAGGAGGTTGGTGACGAAGGGTCCAGCATCATGATGCAGGAGTTCGAATTCCAATTTTGGTCACCATGGGCGCTATGGTGTTAAAAGCCGTGAAGTCAGTTCAGTACTTCTGAAAAAAACTAGCAGAGCCATTGAAGCTTTGGTAGCATTGTTTCTTGATGACCATGATCCAAGGATTGTTTCCAGACTAAATGGCCGGTTGTCAGATGTCGCCGTGTGTCTTTCGGGAGGCACTTTTCAGTCTTAAATATAGAACACTCAAGAAGGACGAGGCTTACGGTTGCTATGGTGTTGCATTTCACGTAGTTTGGAAATGCGTTTCTGCCTATTCCATACTAAAATTCTTTCGTAAACGCAACACCAAGCCTAAAGCGAGGAAGCACTGACCCGGTGAGCCGTGACGTTCCCGATGGTGGTCGGTTCATCAGAGTCGGGTGCAAAGAACGCGATCTAGGGTAGTCCGTTATGCCAGAGGTTCAAAGTTGTCTTGTTATATTCTTAGCAACTTCATATACCGCGGCATTGGCATCTCCTCTATTTAATGGTATATGAAAGGCACTGGGAAGAAGTGTGCACCAATTTCACTGTAATATCAGCAGCTTTGTTCCAAGCAATACAGGAATTACTTGGTATCCATTGGAAATATATGTGTTGTCCTTGTTCTCTGGCGCAATGAAAGAGCATATAAATATCACTCACCAAAAGTTCGTGCATTCCTCGTTGTAAAAAAATGCTTTATGGCCTCAAGTAAGGACTTGGAATCGGTAAAAACGAACCGTGATTCGGCCTGTTTATTTTTTATGTAATCTAGCGCCTCTCGTATGGACCTTGATTCGGAGGTAGTGTACAATGTTTTCTGCCTAAGTTTCGCGCTACGAGAATAGCCCTAAGTAGATATTACCACAGCCGTTGTTGAACAAAGTGGCGAGGTTGATACGTCTGTGAAAATATGGACGGTGCTTAGGTGCGTGCCTTAAATAGTTGCAAGTGCTAGCTTTTGGAGAATTGATGTTGGAGTTGACGCCATCGCTTGAATATTCTTGCGATTTTCAATGAGGGTGGAGGTTAAGAGTTCAAGTGTAATGCCTGAAACGCGTCTCAGACTGGTGTGTTTACCCATAGCCTCCTCCATACTGACAGAGCTTGGCAGATCGCCACGAGACGCGGCCGCCGAAAGTGAAAAGGTAGGGCGGCAGACAAGAGTCTTGTAACGGGCGCCCCGCTGCGGCGAGACGCCGAAACACACTTGTCCCGGGGGATGGAATGTCCGCTCGTGCTTCTCGCGTTCCTCGGGCTACCGCTCCTTTCCTTGTAGGGTTTGAAAACCGTTTTTTGGGTCCTTGTCGCTGCAAAAGCTGTGCGCTGAATACCGCTCTCCGAGAAATGCTCTGTGCTACCATATCCTCGCGCTCCAAATCTGTGACCGGGTACTCTAAGGCTCCGCCGCCGAACTGCCAGGCTTTGGGAGTATAGAGGCTGGTAGAGAAGGCTTTGTTTACCGCGTCCAAAAAGCGCTCATAATCGCGCTGGTGAGGAAAACGACGATACGCGCGCAGACGGCGCGGGGCCAACTCACAGTCTGTTCTAATCTAGCTATGGACCACACTTATAAAATTAAACTACGCTATAATATATAAACATAAAAACACATAAAGATTTGTTTTTTAAGCTTCACCGTTTTACAATATAATCGTGTTTCGAATAGAGGGAGAGGTCCCGTAAGTTTAGCTTTTGAAAGGTATCCATACCAGTACACATACGCGCGATTTCATCTTCGAGAAGTCAATCGAACAACGCAAGGCGCATTCTTTTGAGCTGTTTCGACGGTCACAAAATGATATCAAACCACAATGAAGTCATATGGAGGCATATCGGCAGCCGCCATTCTTAAGGGGAATTCACCCGTTGTTCACTCAATGGGCAAATTTCGCTATACAAACCAGATTTTCAGGAATGCACTAGCGTATTGATTCTTTTGGGAGTTAACTGTTTGAAGATATAATGGTTGTACAAACGCGTGGTAGTACGTACTATAGAGACGTTTTGTATATTAATTTTAAGACGCTTACGGGAAGACTTAATGTATTGGTATTTGCACATTTGTGTAAATACATTAGACAGGGGAGTTTTCGCTAGATTTATTTCCAGTAGGTTCAACGAGGTTGCGCGCCAGCACTAAATCAGAGCCGTGTATATAGAGAGTTTGGTCAATGGGAGTCGCGGGCAGAGCCATGGCGTGCGCAAGACTCGGAAAGATGGCTTGGCATTCTCTCTTGACCAACCAGATGCCGAAAAGAATTCCCGAGTGGTGGTAGCCAGAAACAAGTCTGATCAAAGGTTTATGTTAGTATATGGTTTTAATAAGCGGGTAAGAGTGAAGTGTAGTAACTCTTCGTGGTTAAAAATAGAGTGCACGTAAAGTTTTGATCATGATCATACAGAAAGATGTAAGAAACGAATGCGCCGCTCAACTCTGTTTCGCTGGGACAGAGTGTGACTGCTTGGACGTCAAATTCCCGGCCCTCGGCGCTTGGCATAAGCATTAGGTCGATCGTTCCGCTAGTCGCACTCTTCCACCATCATTTTGGATGAGCGCGATTGAAACATCACGTGCACCATATTGTCAGTCACCGAGAGTTACTCCGATGCAGTTATCAGGTTTGTTTTTCGTGACCACCGCCAGGGTAATATTTCCGGATTCTGGTTGGTCACATTCGAATTTGTGAAAACGCCCTGGAACACGCCCAGCCCGCTTTCGGCCAATGGCGCCTCCTCATTTGTCTCCTCTACTTCTCAACGAATGGCCAAACTTTCTACATATACGGCTCTGCACCAAATGCATCAAGCCAGTAGACCGATGTCACCATCCAGTTCGACTACGCCACCGCTGCCGCAATGCATCGAGGGAACCTAGTCTTTCTGCACGTCCGACAACCCCGCTGGAGCTTTGCGCGAGTGGAGCACGAGACAGCACGAGCCCTCTCGTGCACGCCCGTTTGCCTCCTGCCAACGTTGCTTCCTGTGAACTAAAGTTATGGCGGCGTCACGCATGCGCCGAACGCTTGGTGAGATCGGTCTGTTGTTTCTGTTGTTTCCTCGAGCCTGCACGAATGACACCTCGTGGCACAAGCCCTTTACTTAACATTGCCGGGGAAAAAAAAATTGGGTTGTGTGTGTGTTTATACAGCCTGGAACTTGGTCTGCCTCACAGGGGCGACGAGTCTCCCAGCTGTAGATGAGAAATTTAGCCAGTGCGGTACAGCCGCTAGCCTGGGGTCTTTAACGTGCATCACGCAGTAGTGATACACGACCGCACGCCGGTACGATGCTCATCCAGATCGAAACGGGCAGGGGTGGGGCTCGAAGCATTGCCGAGATCCTCACACGCAGCCTGTCTTTTTACTTCTTCCTTTTCTACCCATCTGCTGCCAGTCAAAAGTGTCGAATCTCCATTCGGTTCGCTACGGTGGCATCCATGTAAACGCAGCCTATGAAGCCAAAGCTGCCAGTGCCTGCGCACTCGCGTAGCTTGAGCACCGCCTGAAAGCTGTACACGCGCGCTCTTCACTTTTCCAGAAATGCCCTGCGCTCTAGCACGGTCGCTCGTGTGGCGCACGAACAAATGTTAGTCTTTTAATAAAACACTGAAAGTGGTGTCTTTTTTTACGTTGTATTAGTGCCGGTTAGCAGATGCTGACAGATGCTTATTGGCGACGAGATGTTTCGGTGGTGCCCTCTTACGGTTCCTGACCCTGACGTCACGATCAAGATATTTAGTAGGCTCGATGGTGCGTATAAAAAACGCGGCTGAAGCCTAGCAATCATGCTCCTCAATCAACACCGTCAGGATTGACAGTCTGAGATTGTTCCTATCTTCGTCGATGAGAGCAGAAATGATCCCACTCAAGGCGACACTGTGAGCGTTTGGACGATCGTGAATGGTCGATCACAGCGACGCTTTGGGTCGCGCACGTCGCCGATACTACTTATACACCGTTTCTGGCTTTACAAAATCACAGCCCAGCGTGCTATCTTTAGAGGCCGGCACACGGTTGTTCGTGTGCCGGCCTCTAAATATGCACGAACATTGATTATCGCATCGGTCAGAAGCGTTTTGTTTATAAGATACTGGGTTGTGAAGGCCGCACAGTTCAGCGTGCCAAGATTAAGCGCGCAAAGCACGCGCCGCATGTACAAGCGCTGATAATGGTACCACGGCCATAAGTCCTTTTCGACATATACGACGGCGACTCATGCATCACCTGACGCCTCATTGCAGGCTCGCATCTAAGCGCTGAACTCCGGGGAGAAAAGTTTAACAGCGAAGTTCCCACTGCAAAACTCTATGCGCCGAGAAACTGAGAGAGGGGGGGAGCCGAGATCGCAGTGAGACGTCAGAACGCCGAGCTTTGATTCGAATGATTCGTGGGGGGCTAGCTGCCTTTGTTTCCCGCATTCGTCGAACGCGTTTTAAGGCGTTCGACGAGTGCAATGGAGACAAGGGCAGCTAGCTTAGAGTATGTCGCACTTTTCACGATCTATAAGGGGCGCACTATTTCCCATCAAAAGTGGCTGTCATCTGGATAATCGTCGTAGAACAGCAGCACGAGGTTGGGTTTGCGATGCGAAAGTAATTCTAATTTTGTGAAATATGAGCGACATGAGCCTTACGTCGTGCTTCCACGTTAGGAAGGTGTAAGCGAGCAGCTTTCATTCTGAAGATACCCGAGGAGATAGGAAGCGCGATTCTCACACCGCGGGATACCACCATCGCTGGAAAGTTGCGAATTCCAACTGAAGCTCGGCGTTACGACGTCCCCGCCCGCTCTCGTCTCGTGTTCTCTTTCAGTTTCGGGGCACATTATAACATGCCGCCGTGTATTTGCCGGCACGAAGGACACTGCCCGCCGCCATATCTCTCTTCGTGCGGACAAGCCCGTGCATTTGCAAGCTTGCCAGATCGATGTTCACGCGCAAGCTGCACGTACTTGCGCGCATAGGGCACCGGTCGGGGCGCCATGTTTGCATTCAACGATTCGCAAAAAAAGCTGCTGCGCATGCGCGAGCAGGGCGTACTGCTAGCGCCCCCAATTTTGGTTCGAAAACAAATAAGCGTGCCGGCTATTCCTAAGTGGCGACAGAGGCGCGGAAGCGAGGACGAAGAGAGCTCGCGAGTCGTTTTGTTTGTCGCCATGCCGGCGCACTGTCTTGCGTATGGCTGCGTGAATTACTTTTATGGTAAAGAGAACGCCAAGTTTTTTTTAGATTTTCGTTGGCTGCAGGCTGTATCCTGCCAAGAGAGGCTTGGATAGCTGCCGTGAGGAAAAGGAACAGGGACGGCTTACCATGGCAGCCGAACAAGCATTACCAGATCTGCATGCAGGGCGCATTTTGTCACGGGTGCGTCGATTTTGTACGCTCCTGGAGAATTTTCCACGCTATTCAATCTAGATCTCGTGGCAACGCTTGGAACAGACTGCATGCACGATATACACCCCACATGTATCAAGCCAAACCATGCATCGACTGCCAAGCCTAGTTGTGTTCCAACCACTTTCCAGCCTCGCACCCAAATTGTCCAAGTTTCCGGCGTTGCCCGATAGGCGTCGAGCACTCTTTTACAAATCCTGGATTCTCTATGCAAACAAACGATGAACGCCACCGAAGCCGATACATGATGTCAAGGCGTCAGTTGCGTGAGCGACTCCTTCTGCATGCAATTGACGTAGTTGCAAACGTCGAAAATCTGAGCGCACAATGTCATCATCAAATAAAATGTTCAGAAATTACGTTCTAATGGTCCGAACCTGGTTCCAACTTCGGAGCCAGTCGGAAATAAGAGCCAGTTCTTAGACTAGCTCGTACCCCACGTCGGTCGCTGGTCCCTGCCGGTAGCAGCGGACGCCGAATAAAAAAAAGAAAAAAAAGTGTAGCTTGCCTAGATCGGAGGCATGCAGCCCGTGGCCCGAGCCCACCCGGAGCGCCCGACCTGCATGCGCAGCTGCGAACAACTCGATTGTTCCGGGACAAAAATCAGCGCCATCCAGGAGGAAAAGGCTACAAATAAGTTACGGGTGAGTCTCCCAAAGCTGATAACACCGGGGCACTTTGAACGTAAGAGTGAAATGAATAGAAGATCCTGGATCTCCGCCTCACATGCTGCCAGTTGCGGAGAACATCTTACCATCCCTCACACTTACTGGTCCTGTAACTCACCCAGCGTTTTCCCACATTCTTTCGTGAGAGGAATGACTCTGTTTTACTGTAAGTACGACCTTGCGATCGAATGGAGCAGATCGAACAGCGCCAAAAGGGCATTGTCACGGCGCTCGTTGTTTTTATGGGGTTGCTCTCGCCGGTTAAACCATTCCCGCACGGAAAAGAAAAAAAAAACAAAAAAACAACAACGCGTGATTGCTTCATCCGGTGTGTGTAAAGGCACAAAGGCGGCCTTGTCGATGCACTTTCTGCGCTGCTTGATTGGTTCTATCGGATCGTTAAGTCCGACCGCGGCTACGGGGTGACTCAAAGTGAAACGGCGTATAGCTCAAGCCCCGATCACGCACGAGCCCAACGCGCTTTGAGCACTCGCTGACCACTCTGTTCCCCTCGCGGAATCCATCCCGGAGGGGTGGGCGGTACGTGCCGCCCTGACCTGGAACGTGTGCCACGCAACAATCTTTTGCTCTTTCCCTCTTTTTCTTGTCCGCTCTCACCATGGGCGTGCACACGATATTCCATTCCACGATCATCGCAAACACTTACGGATGAACTTGTCCACATCCATGCCGCTTTCGTCCCGGGTTAGCAGCTGGAAGGTTCGCGGCTTGAGGTTGGCTTTCTGAAGAACGGCCAGCATGTACGAGTATAGGCCAGACCTGCCTTCGATATCCTGACTCGGGGGTATGAAGCGTTCAATAACCTACGAGAAAACGAAGAAAAAGGTTTATCTAAGCAATTCAGTTTGGTGTACATGGCGTGTACCTACATTTGCAATACGGAGAGCATGCAAGTTCGTCTGCTTCTTTTGCAGGGCTTGTGGTGACGTCAGAACGCCGCGCTCTGTTTGGCTGCAATTGAAGGATAGAGGGTAGACCTCAAGGCACTTTGGTTTGAGGTCTGCCCACTATCCTTCAGTCAAAGCGAATCAGAGCTCGGCGTCTTTCTGACGTCACCACAAACCCCGCAAAAGAAGCAGACGAACTTGCGCTCCGCATTGACTCCGTTTGATCGCGAAACGGCGTCCTTGCGGCAGGGGGCACTCGCTTGCGGTACGACGTTCGCAGTCAAAGGTGTTCGGAAGCGCAAAAAAATAAAATAGGGATAACTATACCGCTAGAACTCAGTAGAGAGTTTTAGTAGATCGTTCCGATACCTCCGATAGCCCCGATAACGATACTATGCATGCGCAAGGGAGGCGGTGGCGGAGTATCGGGTATCGTTATCGGAGTCATGGGAACGATCTACTAAAACTCTCTATTGCATGTTCCTATAATCCCACGAAATTCGTTTTTCGAATAACGCTATAGTTTCGTAAATAAATCGATTTATATGCGGGACCCTCGGATTCGCCCCATGCGAAAAGGCCGCCGTGGTTGTTGGGTCGGTAGCGTCATCCGCCCAAAGCGCGGCGCCCCCTTGCACGCACTCACAGACTTGGCTCTCTCGGAGTCTCGAGCTTCAGCTTCCTCGTTTAAATTCCGCGTTTCGAGCACACGGTTTCGAGATGGTGACGTGACTGACGTTTACTGCATCACTCGCTTCGTCGGAATCAAAACACGTTGGAAGATGGCCATTTGACTGCGACCGCCTCGCGACCAGCTTCAGCGACGACGACGAGGAGATAGTCCTGGACGAACTCGCCGTCGCCAGCGACGATCCCGCACGTGAATGGAGGGCGGAGGATCGAAGGGCAAGGGGACGAGTGGCCTGAGGGTGCGATTATGCCGTGGCGAGGCGAGCTTGGGGGACCATCGGGGCACCTAGATTGAGAGAGCGTTCAACGTACTATGATGCTCCCCTCATTTATGGGCACCGTGGTGCGACTAACTTGAGCATTGTTGCCTGGTCGTCAGACGAAAATGATCAGCATTCATAAATTGATTATTGTAATTACTATAGCTCAAAATATCGCGAAACTCGGTGCCTATAAGTAACCTATAAGCATTCCATTTGAAATAATTTAACTGTGTCATTTTCATATCCTAATCCCGTTGGAGTGCAGAACGGCGTAATTGCGGCAGGAAGCGGCTGCTTGCGGTACGCAGTGCGCGGTCGCGCAGCGCGACGCAAGACAGTACAATCTCGCTCAACCTTCCAAAGCGTCACATTGCGCTAGGCCAGTCAGAAGTCGAGAAAAAAAAGGGAGGATCACGTGCTCACCAGCGCCCGTCAACCTAAGGGACGCGCATCCGGTTTTAGGGAACACAAGGACGATAAAAACGGGCGCCGCGCGGAGATCCCCACAGCAACAACCCATGGCGCTGTGACATACATGGACCAATGCCAAACCCCCACGTTACAGCGTTCGCGCAAGTTGCCATGGAAACGGTCGCGTGGCGCCCGTTTTTGTCGCTCACGCGTTCCTCGCTTAAGTGTGTATACTTTACTTGCGTAATAGTAGTAGTTAAAACGTTTAATATTCCGCTTTTAAAGGGTAGGGGGTAGGGGAGTGTATCGCAATGGTGCTCCCAGGGCGGCCATGTTGGATCCAGGGCCGCATGCGGGAAGCGACCGTCGCTTCTGCAGGAGCTTCGGAGGCGCGGATGGCGTGGCTGCGAAGCGTCGTGCTGCGGCGTGCGGAGCAGAAAATATCAAGTACGGCGACACGCCGCACGTTCGCCGTCGTCTTGTCATTCGTCTACTGTTCCTCTCTATGCCTCTGATAGAACGTAGAAGTCGACGAAAACGTCGTTCCTTTGCAAGCGGTAGCTGCGCGTTGTTGCCTGGTTTGGGGTGCCCGGATATCCCGGTCGGGTATCACTCCCTGAGCTCCGCAGATGCGAGCAATGCGATCGTTTTCCGTGTCGTCTGCTCCCAGGGTTTAGGAACATGTTTTAAAATATCGCCCGCGTGGTAAAACAGTGCGATTGTACTGTACCCAGTGACTACACATATTGTTGAATGGTCGAGGAACCTTCCAGTTTGTTCGATTCTAGTGAAGGATTCATATTTCGCAAACGAGAAGCGACTCAACACGCTCCGTCCGAAACTCGGCGCCTGCCAGGTCGCTTTCCCGCGTGAATTTTGGATCCAGCTCGGCGCACGTGACCGCTTCTCCGCCAATACGGAGTTGGCGGCGATAAAAAAAGGAATTAGATACTCTGGCTCTGCAAGCGGAAGGGGAATCGGTGGCCGAGGTGTCTAGAGCACACCAGGGGCCCGAAACTCGTCAAACACAAAGTATGAGCCGAAAGTTCGCGGAGCGCGCCAATTGGACATCGGCGAAAAAAAGCGCGAAGTCATCGCCGTGATAGGCCGATCGGTGGGCTCCGTCAGCTTCGGTCCCAACTTTGTGTTTGACGAGCTTAGAGGCACATCTCGGCGCACGAGGAGCCAAAGCTCGCGCTGCAGGAACCCAGGATCCTGGGTTCTATTCCTACCGCTGCCTGTTTCGATCTGGATGGACATGGTACCGGCGTGCGGTCGTGTATCACTACTGCGGGGCGCACGCTAAAGACCCCAGGCTAGCGCTTGTACTGCACTGGCTAAATTGCTCATCTACAGCTGAGAGAAAAGTCGCTCAATGAAGGCATACTAACTTCAAGGTTGTATAAATATACGCACAAACAATTTTGTATTGTTTTTATAGACAACTGCAAGCATGGCACCCCTCCTGATGCCCCATGCGTGCATGCACGTGAAGCACGCGAGTGAAAATAGCTTCGGCAAGCTTGCAATTGCACGGTCTTGTCCGCACGAGCAGAGGTATGGCAGCGACCAGACGGCTTGCTTGCAGTAGTCTATGCAGTTAGTCTAGAGACACAGGACTAGCGGGATTTTCCGAGACCGCGATGGTTCAAGCTGGATAGAAGTCGCGAAAATAGCGGGATTGTTCCATCAGGGAGTTTTTGTAAGCCGCTTTCCTCTCCGCTAAGCTATCCGCAACGAAGAGACCGCTACTGCGCCTGCGCGCCGCTAGCCTTGACTGAAGAAAGCCAGATCTCGTAGCGCGTTGCGGAGAGCATTGCGGGACGAAGTAGTAGTAAGCGTGGTAGGGGATGTCGGGGAAAGTGAAAGCCAATCGTGCGCGCTGCAGGGCGCATTTGCCGTAGAAACGATATACCATCGATGCCACTCCTTTTCAACGTTCTCCGCAACCCGCTACGAGATTCGGGAATCTGCAGGCAAGGATAGCGCCGCGCATGAGCAGTAATGGCGTTTTCGTTCCCGGGAGTGTGCCGGAGGTGGAAAAACGGTCTACGAAAACTCCCTATCCAGCCACCTCGACGCCGTCGCCGTGCGCCACCATGTTGCCGTGGACTTCGCCTATGACTAGGGAGTTTTCGTAGACCGCGTTTCCACCTCCGCTAAGCCCTCCGCAACGAAGAAGCCGCTACTGCGCCTGCGCGCCGATGGCCCTGACTGTGGAGTTCCGGGAGCGGAATGTTTGAGATACCGAGTCTAGTAGATAAGAAGCCAAAGTGGCCTTGCCGACTCACTCTTGCACTCTCCCGTTAGCCAGCTGTCATGTCGACATCCGACGCTCACCGCTGCTTTCGTGACACTCGTTCTTTCTTTTGTTTCTGGTACAAGTTCGCTGGTTAAGCTTTTATTTTCAGTTTTACGCTGGTAGAGCCTTTTCAATTATCCACAATATGGCTGGTTTTGAATTCTAGTGTGCAGAATAAAGCGGCGTCGCTGTTTCTAATCTGTCCGCACGACGCAACATCTGCAAAAATCCGTTGCAAATACAAGTTACGGTTAGCTGATTTAGTGCTGTAACAAATCGGTCCCTTTTAAGAGCTTCTTTTGTGGAGCCTAACTTGAGCCAGTGGTAAAAACAATGCGATGCCTTAATGTTTAAACAGCATGAAGTTAGTCGGACATCAAAATGGCTAACTTGTATACGCTGTGGATGAGGAATTTGAAGTGATAGATGCGCCGTAGAGCACTCATAATAATTTCTTATTTTCCTAATTTTCACCGACAACGCATGAAGTGCAATGGGCTTCTCAATAAGGGTCGTTAACGTGTCTCATGCATTTGGGATCATACGAGAGCATACCGGTGCAATGCCTATCCAGATCGAAACGAACGGGGTGCTGGCTTCGAACCACTGAAAGAAGCCGTTTAAAAGGTTTTAATTAGAATGCAATTAAATGCAAAGGGGCAAGCGAGCTGGACAATAATGATGAAAATAATCCCCGGAGAAGGGGAACAAGAGGGACAAAGGACAAACACAAATCTCCAAACACAGCTAGGTGACTGGTAAGCGACCGAAAAAATCCGCCTGGTCCGGGTATCGAACCCGGGACCTCTCCATTACAAGTGGAGCGCTCTACCAACTGAGCTAACCAGGGTCGCTAAACTCGTCAAGCACAACTTTGTGTCCGAAAGTTGCGGAACGCGCTAATTGGACTCTCGCGCCGCTGACATCGCGCTGAGCGAGGTGTCAATCATTCGAAGCAAAGTTCATCGAGGCGCGCGTGCGGCGCGTGAGGGGCGCGAGGAGCCCGCTGATTGAACGGCTTCGCCGATGACGTAGGGCCCATTTCTCCCTACATCCCTACGCCAAGCTAAAATCAATGCTTTGCAGATTGTCCCTAGGCGACCTGCTGACGCTCAAAATCCCTCCGAAGTTTGTGTTAACAAGAAACCTCGTTTGTCGAAGTTGTCGCTGACGTCAAAGTGACGTTTCCGAACTTTGCGAGAGCCGCGGTTTGAGCTCGAGATCTTCGCTTCGGATCGAGGCGAAGTTAAACTTTGTCAACATGGCGGTGCCGTACGCTGCGGCCGAGCTCATCTTCCGCCACCGTCGGCGTCGCTACTGATACCACTGGGGACGCCTTTCAACTCCCCGACGACGACTTTCGGCGACAGTACCGGCTATCCAAAGCCGTTGTGCGTTTACTCTGCGACGAGCTTCGTTCGCCGCCTCGGACCGTGGAACAACAAGTTCTCTGCGCGCTCCGGTTCTTCGGAACCGGGAGCTTTCAAGGCATGGTGGCGACTGACGAGCACCTCTCAGTCTCCCACATGACTGTGAACCGGGCTGTCAGAGTTTTTGCGGCTGCCATCGCTTTTTTTTATTTTATTTTTTTATGTAATATCCGAAGAGGTAGTAATAAGCTGGTATACAATTCAGAATGTTGGAAAACAAACAAGAACCGGGGTAATTCTTAGGTAGGGTCGAGTCTCCCGGCAGCCGGCAGAATTATTTCCCCGAAATTCTACTGGCAGTCGTCACTCATTGGCGGTCAAATCAGTTCATCGAACGACGTGTCATCGACAGATCGTTTCATCGGCACGCGATGTAATCACATTAAAGAGATTGTCTTCCGTTAGAGGTATATCCGCATTAAGCATTTTCTTACCTTTAAACATGTAAGTGGGGTGTGCCATAACTAACACCGTAATAAGTGTAGCGATGGACCTTATAAAAAAAATGTAAACTTCACACCTTTAAAAATGTGTGATTTTTTAAACACGTTTCTTAAAACGTATGATGATGCCTACACCTTTTTATGAAGATGTAAAACTACAATACCCCTTCTCGTCAGGCACGCAGCCAAGGAGAGGGGGTGGGGGGGCATAAGGCCTGGCCTTTCCGCCCCCCCCCCCCCCCCCTCCGAAATTTTCCATTTTGCTGGGGCCTCCTCTCCTTCCTCCCCCTCATAAAGCACTTTGTCATCGGCGCCACCCCCCCCCCCCCCCCCCCCCCCCCCCCCGCTTTAACCGAAAATCTGGCTACGTGCCTGCTTCTCCTCAAGGTGTAATTACCACAGTACATTTCTTTTTTGGGGTGTACACAGTGGCCCGGGACCCATTAATATGACTGAACAAATAAATTACACAAACGAGTCGCCGAAACAGCACGTTGCTTCTTGGGGGATACGGTCCATTCGTCACATGCACACTCGTCACAGGACGATTGGTCACAAGACGATTCGTCACACGGGAACATTCGTCATAGGACGACTCGTCACATGGCCAACCGGTCCCATAATAGTTAGTCCCCCCAAAAATGTATTGTTTAATTTGGTTCGGTCGGACAAAGTGGCTCACCTCATATCTTAATATGTGTTTGGCTTCTCAAAGGCGAAGAATTTGTAACAAAGGTTTTAGCTTCTGTTTCGGTCCTGAACATTGAATGTTGGTTCGGCCTTACAAAGTGGGTCACATCTTAGCATGTCTTTCGCTTCTCAAGGTCAAAGAATTTGTAACAGACGTTTTAGCTTCTGGGTCCGTCCCGAACGGTGAATGCGGAGGCCATATAAGAGTGACTATTTTTGAACTCGGACTATATTCAAAATAATGGAGGGGATCGCAACAGAGAGAGGCTGTACACATTCACTCGTACACATTCAGCAGAAAGAATTCCGATACTTATTGATTTTGTCGAATAGGTGTATGCAAGGCAAAAGTAAAAACTGATTTAGCTGCCAGTCGGATTATTGCTCCTTCAAGCCAGCAACTGAGATCAACCTGCTAAAGACTCGTAATATAATGAAAGTAAAAGCGGAAGAGGAGCATTGTAAGATTAGTTTCCTAACCATTGGTTTATGTGACAGTGGGAAGTCGTGAAAGTCCTCATCAGGGAATGTGTGCAGTTGTTGAAATTTGCGATTTACTATCGTCGCCTGCCCGATCGATGTGACCAGTTGCCCGCATGACGAGTCATCCTGTGACGATTGTTCCTACGTGACAAATCGTCCTGTGACCAATCGTCCTGTGACGAGTGCGCATGTGACGAATCGTCCTCATCCCGCTTCTTCGCGAGTGTCGAGGCAATATCGTCCGAAAACCGGCTTCAATATTGACCGGATGTACGGTTTTGCGCCTCGTCCCTACATCCGGCAGGTATGGGAGTACCGATGCAAATAAACGATATATGTCTGATAGCACTGGCACCACTGATTTCTTAGGAGGCTAGATCGTGAATAGAGGCCTGTATTGCTGGGGTCGAGCGGCACCACCGGCAGTCATCGCTTGACACAACTCAATTTTATTACGTTAGTAAATTGTTCTCTACCATGAAACTTCTATCATGTTTCCGCAAATAACAGTTAATATTGTGGGCAAGAATATTAAACGCGTTAGATTAACAATCTTGTTTAACTAAATGTTGTGTGGTTGAGGGTCCAGGGCTACTTTGTTGGGCGTTAACTGTTATGTGTCTAATGAGACAAGGGCTACCGAGAGTTATAGTGGAGTCATCCGTGATTTCGGAGTCATCAAAGCTCAGCAAACGATAAGTTAGAATGCCTTTACTGGGGATTTTCGCATCGTTTTGACCGCTTGTACATAGTGCTTCATGGTGAAAGCTTTTTCTTTGAACTCCTGTGAGGGCTTCCGTGACAAACTGAAACTCGGAGCGTGCCGTTCAGTCGCTCGACGTGCCATTTATTTAGCAACCGAAGCAAGCGACGTCGGTAAAGTCAATCGTGCTCCGGCCAATTTTTTTTTAATCGATGTTCAAACGCTTGACGAATGTCTATTTGATCTCCAAGAACCCGACATAATCATCGCAGCACGTCATAAAATGCTCGCCCTCGAGCTCCGCGTACAAGCTTCCAATTGTTGCATGTTTCTTCCTTAAACTTGCGTGTATTGCCTCATGATGTAAAAGGCCAAAGCAACAAGGACGAAAACGAAGGGAGAACTAGACAGGACGCGGCATATTGCCTGTCGTCAAGCAATGGCCGCCGGTGAGGCCAGTGACGGGCTCCCAATTCGCGATACAGATTTGCACTGTGAGAGTTCTAATGCATTACACCCGCCGAGTGCTGCACGGAGAACAGGCCCCGAACGTACTTGCCGAATGCACCCACTGCAGACTGATGCTGTCGCCATAGATGTTGTAGAAAAGTACCGACCTCAAACCGAAACTACCGCCTTTTTGTTCGACGTGATGGGTGGGAATGCGAGAGTGCAGTCGCTGCCATCGTTTAAACGTTGGTTGCTGCAACGTGGGACTTACATTTGCGAGGACTTCCACTTAAGCAACTCGGCAGTCAGAGATATCTACAGACGGCGTAAGTTTCCGAAACCAGTTGACTACAAAACAGCATACGCTTGAGGAAATTGATGGCACTGTACGCGCAAGAGCTTGCTTCGTTTTAAGCATAATATTATGAATGAATAACTGAAAGGATACGGCTTAAATCTAGTTCTTTGGAACAGCTAGCAATACGTTTCGTAAGACTTTTTATTTCCCTGGCATTGAGAACGAGAGCTTTCTCAAAACAAAATATGACGGGGCGAGATAGCTGCCGTTCAAATATGACTTTGCTTGAGTCTCGGGCAACGTCTCCGTGTTTAGCCTTCCCGGACGCTGAGTGAATCCGTCGCAGGTTTTTGCTGTGGGAGCTTTGTCGAAAAATGTTGCACTTTTCACCCATGCACAAATGATGCTAGATCTCGCGGCCCCTGTGGTTGTCCTGGGCCTTTCATTACACACTGGTAGGTTTCAGCGTCTGTACGGCTACAAAACGACTCAAATTTCGCAAATAAAAGACGGGCCGTCGATTCCTTTCTTCGTGAAATATCAGAGGCTTACAATTCAAGCTCGCGTTTGAGTTTCTGGCCCGCGGGACGCGATTTCGAGCAGAAAACCAACTTTTTCTTTCAGTTCCGCTGTGCGAATGCCTCATCGTAGCAGACGAACTCTCGTCGTCTGCTCCCGCTTCTCGCCTGCGCGAGGCATGACGGGATTGTCGGCGCTAGAGAGCCCAAAGACGACGTACAGCGAGCGGCGTGAACGCTCGCCTCCCCGCGCTGTCTCGTGCTCTCGTGCACCGCCTAGGGATCGCGGGGGATTTTTCGTCAAAAGTTGCGAAGTTGAGCGCGCGCAGGAAGGAGGAAACTTTGCGGCGTTCTTTCGGTCACTCCCCCCGCTACGTCAAAAAGCGAAGAATGTCTTGCTCCACGAGTTTAGCTACCCGGGGGTTAGACGTCAGTAGAGCAAACGGGTTTTTTCAGCCGCCCCCAGTCTAACACCAACAAGGGTGAAGCTTGCAATTTAATGTTATAATTAGAATGCAATTAAATGCAAAGGGGCAAGCGAGCTGGACAATAATGATGAAAATAATCCCTGGAGAAGGGGAACAAGAGGGACAAAGGACAAAACCCGTTTGCTCTACTGACGTCTAACCCCTGGTTAGCTCAGTTGGTAGAGCGCTCCACTTGTAATGGAGAGGTCCCGGGTTCGATACCCGGACCAGGCGGATTTTTTCGGTCGCTCACCAGTCACCTAGCTGTGTTTGGAGATTTGTGTTTGTCCTTTGTCCCTCTTGTTCCCCTTCTCCAGGGATTATTTTCATCATTATTGTCCAGCTCGCTTGCCCCTTTGCATTTAATTGCATTCTAATTATAACATTAAAATGCAAGCTTCACCCTTGTTGGTGTTAGACTGGGGGCGGCTGATAAAACCCGTTTGCTCTACTGACGTCTAACCCCTGGTTAGCTCAGTTGGTAGAGCGCTCCACTTGTAATGGAGAGGTCCCGGGTTCGATACCCGGACCAGGCGGATTTTTTCGGTCGCTCACCAGTCACCTAGCTGTGTTTGGAGATTTGTGTTTGTCCTTTGTCCCTCTTGTTCCCCTTCTCCAGGGATTATTTTCATCATAAAAGGTTTTGACTTGCTCATACCAAAACACACTAAAAGTGGCGTTTACATACATTGTAGCAAAGTTTCACCATTAATGTAACCCGAAAGGTCGCAATACAATGCCTGGATGAGCAAGCAAACTCACTCCTTTGTACGGCTTCCATCGATCCATCTCCACGATCCTCTTCCATACCCTGTACATCGCGAGCTGAGCCGCGAACACCAGCATGCACTCCCCTTGGGCGGTCATCAAGGCTGCTACATTTCGGAGAGCCGCGGTGAGGTCTTCCGCCCAGTGCAGGACGAAGAAGGAGTAGACGCGATCAAACTTGCCGTACTTCCTGACGAGTCCTGAGATGTCGCCTTCGATGTCGTGTACTTCGTACGCGATCTGCGGATGGGCGAAGTTCTCCTCGGCGTACTCCACCATGGCTCGGGAGATGTCGGTGGCCACAATCCTTCGGCAGGGCTGGCAGCGCGGCAGCAGTTCTTGGCGCGTGAAGTCGCCCGTCCCGCAGCCCACGTCGAGGAACTGCTGGCTGGCATTCGGCTTAATGCCAAACGACTCATGCAGCGCGTTGAGAGTTTGGATGCCCATAGCCCTCTGGCTTTGGTTGGATTTGATGTAGATCTCCGGAACAATCTGCACCTGAAGTGGGTGTTTCTCGACTGTGTCATCAACCGAAAAAGGCTTGCCCATGTTGCTGCAAAAGTGTCACCAACTGTAGAAAAACAAACAGAACAATTGTTTTTTTTGTTTTTGTCTTGTGTAGAAATCCATGAAATTTAGGGTCTCATGATGCATTCTCTTGCACCATCGTCCGCTCCAAACCGACGAGGGGAAGATGAACTCGCATTTGTGGAGCGACCCGACGGAGACGATCTGCCGTTCCAAATGGCCACTATACTCTAACTTGACAAGCCGACTGAGCTTTCTAACGACCAGTTATTATACGGTCACTGTGTATTAACCCCGGCCTGTGTCGCGCAACACGCGACACAAGCCGGGTGGATTATCCGTACCGCTGAGCTCATGTAATAAATAGCGAGGAACGTCCGCGTCCCTTTCGTATACCTTTCGTCTGCCTCGGAACGGCGGGGCACGCCCAGCGATCGCCATCGGTGGAACTCAGACTGGAAAGACTTTAAGAGAAACAGAGATGTAGCAAACCAAAAAGCGCCGGCGGCAGGTTCTCTTAAAAAGGTAAACCATCAACGAACTGGATGCAAGGGTGCAAACGAGCTGGTGTATATCAAGCGGGACACAATCCCGTGACTGCGGGTAAAATACCTTTTTGTGTGTGTCGTTTTTAATCGCAGACTCGGGTTTTTTGTCAAGCTAGACAATTAGTTGGGGCAAAAGGAACACGCTTAACGCTTTGTCTGCTTCCTTCGGATTTTCTGTCGTTCTTTTCCTCGTTCTTTTTCTTAGGGTCACAAATCTCAGCGCTTACGATTTGCCACGCTCATGTCCTGCTTCTACAGCCTTGATCAACGCGAAGTGGGAGAGTTCCAGCCGTCACAATCCCGCGTAAACAACCGACGCATTCGATCAGATCCGACTCGACGGTCCGGCGAACAGGCGAGCTCGTGAGCCTCGCCGCGCATGCGCACCGCCGTGTGAAAGGAAATGACGTAGCGCGCTATTGTCAACTCCTGCCAAGCAACGTCAAATTGCATGAATTAAATTCGGCGGGGTAGGTGACGCTCTGCTGGGCAGGCGCTGCCACAAATCTACGAGTGGAAGATGACCAACATCAGTCGGATCTGCCATAGAAAGATTTCGCGCTGCACAAAGTGCGCTTTTGGAGCGCTCCAAATCTGCGCGCGGATTTCACCTTTTTTTTTTATGCATGGAGCAATTTCTATAGGTTCAGTCGTAAAATGAAACGTTTTTTTTTATTTCTTTTTTTATAATAATATTTGTCCAACAGCGGTCACTGTGGTTGGAAAGTAGAACAAGAAACAATAAACAATAACAGATATGCAGAACACCAGGAATATGCTTCTTGAATACCGGGCAAACTTTTTATTATTCTATGGTATGGGGATTTAATAATTATTATGAAATAATACTTATTATAAGATACGGCGAGATGAGACATAACCTCCAAATATAATGGGGTGTTTTTGTCTCAGCTCAGGCATACATTTTTTTTTTGGGGGGGGGGGGGGGGGGGATTTTTAATTTTGACAAAAATAACCTCTTGGGAGCATTTTTGAAATGAAGGAAGCGCAAACAGCAAGCTTGTCGTGTTTTTTTGTTTCAAAGTAATTGATCATTGACGCAGCCGACGCGAAAACATATTTCTTCCACTTATGTCTGACTGCTCGCTTTTTTCTAATTACTCACTGCTGCACTTGGACTCTTCTCCGAAACTTGCAAAATATTGCCGCATGCGAATAGCTGAGGCAGCAGTGCTCGACTCCCTGTTTGACCCCCGGCAGTGCTTGTCCTTTTTATATTTCTTTTGTTTTCACAACTGGAATGTTCCAGATGACTTGAGAATTTTGTTTGTTCGAGCTCGGAATCTTTTAGATACCCACGCGCTTACAATAGAAGTTTCGCATGGCTGCTTGGGGCAGTCGCCCCTCCGTCGGGATCGAAGAAGAAGAAGGCGAACCTATTGTTGCTGATCTTGAGCTCGTCTCAATATTTTTCTTTTTTCATCAAAGTTCTCACGTCCCTGGCCAGCCAAACAAAACATTTTCTTCGAATTGAGTCGATTGCTCATCTCCCATGGCCGAGGCCTTCCTCCGGCCAGGACATATATACCTTCAGTCGAAATGGAAGAATTGCCTATGGGTACGTCAAGTGCTTCCAGCACAATCTCCTACTGCGAAAGCATCTCCGATGATCCTGGTAACGATTCCGACCCATATAATCTGGTCCAGAGTCGCAAAAAAACGCAAAGCTTCTAGCAGCTCCGAGACAAGTAATAAGGCCGTCAAAACACGAAACAAAAGCATCCCCACCTCGTAGTGGTACTGAAGCCAAAAGATCCATCCAAAATAATCGCCAGAATCAATCCGCTGAAAATCACCGAGAAACTAGAGATGACCGCCCCAGATGGAGTCATCCTTGTCAGGCCAAACTGAAGGCTGAATCTACTTGCTATAGACACGAGAAACAGAGTTGCGACAAAAGCGTTGCTTGCACTGACCGCCATTGGAGGCATCCCTGCCCAGGCCTACGAGCCTTTTACCCGTGAATCGGCCATCGGAGTTGTATACGGAGTACCGTCAGACATAAACGACACGGAACTTCAGGTGGCAATACGAGCTACGGCGCCTGTTATCTCCGTTCGTCAGCTAGGCACATTCCCAAGAAGGTTGTCCTCAACACAGATATTTTGCCGGAATACATCACGATTGGATATACAAGATACAGGATAGAACCGTTTGTAAAGAAACCTCGCCAATGCTAGAAATGCAATGGGTTTGGACACATTCGAACCGCGTGCACGAAAGAGTCACATTGCACACATTGCGGGGGACCACATGAACGCACGCACCGGCTGTAATGCAGACAACCCCCTCCGCACGAACGGCGGCAAAGCTCATGACTCGATATCTAATCTTTGTCCGGCATACCAAAGAGAACAAAGGATATACAAGAGCAGGAGCCAAGCTAAAGTTGGCCATGCGTCAGCGAAACCGGCGCTGCTCGCATCGAAAGAACAACTGACAGAAGAGACCCCTAAAACGACTGCGTCAAAGAAAAACAAACCATCCGCAGCTCAAGAACTCCCAACGAGCGAAAACTCCTCATCAGCCGAGCAGTCCAACCAAAGACACCCGCAGATATACGCGAAGAAAAACACGAGTAATCCCACACTCAAGTGGAACAGTGAAGATGAATTTCCAACTCTTCTCACACAAGTTTCAAAATCCACTGATAAGTCAGAAGGAGAAACCAAACGGCCCGAAAAGAAGTCTACACGACAGCAAAGTCTGAGGCCAAGATTCAGACAGTTGTCAATGTCATCCGCAATCTTCTTCGCTCCTGGGATTCGCCTATAGCCAAAGCGCTTATTGCGTTGATTGATGCTGCCCTTCCATTCGTGATGCTGTGGTGTCACTAGATAAATTACGAAGTGAGGCCAATGTCCTTCAATGGAACGCAAAAGGTTTTCAAAATAGGCTGTCAAATTTTCGGCAATTCCTCTTGAAACACAAATTTCCTGTAGTAGAAATTTCGGAATCAAGAGTAGGACCTAACATCAGATTATCTGGTTATGAACTTCTTCGCTCCCACGGAGAAACTGGTCTTAGCAGAGTATTACTCGGCATTCGAGAAGATCTCACATTTATTGGGCACAATACTTCGTCCCATAGGACAAATTAATATATTGCTATGACTACAAAAAAGGCGATATCTAATTCAGCGTTATAACTGGTTATATACCTCCTCGAGCAGAATTTGACACTAACAGACTTGAAGCTATTCTCCAACAAACCCCATCACCACGTCTTCTGACGGGAGATTTTAATGCTCACAATACACTGTGTGGAAGTACGAAGAATAATGCTCGAGGAAGGGCATTATTTGGAATTACGCTAAACCATGATCTCGCGGTACTCAATGATGGAAGTCCTACATTCTTTAAAGGTGCATCAGTGAACAGCCCTTTAGATATTTCGTTTGCATCTTAAGCTCTTGATGAAGAAACTACATGGTTCGCTGGCATTGACACTCACGGAAGTGACTATGCACCTACATACACCACACTGAGAGGTCTGCGCTGTTCCAAACGGCGCTTCTCGGTACTTTATACCGACTGGAAAATATTTCAAGAAAAACTGGCATCTGCCAGTTCCACGCTCACTGCAACAGAATCCTTTGTGAATGCCATAACATCCTCCACTTCAGAAGCAACTAAATCTTTCAACGTGACAAACCCACAGACAACGGTCGATGGAAAATATGAGCGTCTTCGTGCCATCCGTGGAAGGGCTGAACGAAAAGCAAGAAAAACAAAAGAAGTTGAAGATATCTAGGCCTCCAGACGAGACTAAAATATGTACAGCGGCACTTAGACAAACCTCCAAGAAGACGGTGGAGGTCATTGAGTTCCAGCCTTGATCCCAGGAAGCCAACTACCCGAATATGGCAGATCACGCGAAGCCTCAGCGTAAGACCAAAGCAAATTCACCCCTTCAGAGCCATTTCTTTGAGACGCGAAATATCTGAAACAGCCGTAGCAGAAGCGTTTTGCATCAAGATTACAAGCTGCCCCTCCGGTAACAATCACAGCAAGGGTGCACCAGCTGGCCACGTCCCTGTAAGTGCATGTCATTCTATGGACGACCGTTTCAACTTAAAGGAACTAAACATAGCACTCGCTACATCCAACACTAAGTCCTGTCCAGGTTCAGATGGCATACCCCACTCAGCCTTACGTCACTTGGGGGAAACTGCCAGAATGGCCCTACTCACTTTATTCAATGCCTCATGGGAGACTGGCATTATACCCCAAGATTGAAAAATTGCTCGCGTAATACCAATTCTCAAACCAGGGAAACCGGCACTCGATATCAATTCATATCGCCCGATCGCATTAACTAGCTGCATAAGCAAAATAATGGAACGCATGCTGCTTGCTCGCATGGAGTGGGATCTTGAAAATAGATGCATTTATCCTTCATCCATGAGCGGTTTCCGACGTGGCAGATGCAGTATTGACAACGTTATAGATCTAGTTTCTAGCATAGAGGAAATGAAATCAGTCAAGCAGGTCACCACCGCAGTATTTGTTGACACAAAAGCAGCCTTCGAGTCGATAGAACACGAGGCCATACTTTCCGCCATGAAGGCGATTGGTCTCGGAGGACGCATATTTACATGGATTTCAAGTTACCTTAAAGAACGAAAAGTCTATATATCGACACAATATGGCAACACTGACTTCCATGAGGTCAAACAGGGGGTTCCCCGAGGTGGGGTTCTCAGCCCAATGTTGTTTAGCATGTGCCTCACAGGCCTTCTGAAGATACCCCCTGTTTTTGTACATGTATCTTTATACGCTGACTATATATGTTTCTGGTCGTGGAACAAGTCTTTATATATAAACAGAGCCAGGCTACAAAAAGCCCTCAACATTACCGCAGGGTACACTAGCAGCCGAGGCTTATACATATCACCAGAGAAGTCAGCGGCGTTGGCGTTTACAATGAAATAAACGTACAGATACCCCATTAACATAGAAGGAACCCTAATCCCATATATCTCCGAACATGCATTTTGGGCATGACTCTCGATAGGCAAATGACGTGGCGTCCCCATATTAAACGGCTAAGAAAAAAGCTTGCCTCGTTCACACACATAATAAAGATGATCAGTGGAACCAGATGTTAAAGAACTTGAAAGCGCCCAAGCACGAGCACTTCGTGTCTGCTTAGAATTAACAAAATGTACCCTCACCTCTGAAACTCTGGCGGAATCTCGACCGAAATCTGCCGCAATACTAAGGACGCAAGAAACATTGCGAGCTCATCTTCGACACAAAACCAGAGTGTACGTATAAACACCACTTGGTAGACATTGTAAAATAAAAACCATCATCTGGCTTTGCGCAAGTTATTATGGTACTAGAAGACTGTATGCCAAGTTCAATTGAGGCAGCTGTGATTCCACAGTATTCACCTTGGAAGTATCCTCATTTGGAAATAAGAACCAGCACACAAGGAATCACTAAAAAATTCAGTTCCTTCCCCGGTTGTTACACAAATATCTCTCGAATATATTCAAAGAACTTACGAGTCGTTTATTCACATCTACACCGATGATTCTACAATTCCCACATCATCAGCCCTGGGGGTATACATTCCATCCACAGGCACATACATGAAGGCTAAACTAAGCCACGCCACCTCATCAACAGTAACAGAGCTACCAGCTATTCGTGCAGCTGTTGTACACGCGGGCGCTGAAAGCCCACGATGCTGGGCAATACTTGTCGACTCCAGGTCTGCGTTGTACGCTCTTTCTTTGATGAGAAACGAAAACTTTAACTCACAACTGGTGCATGATATTTTACAGACTATTCGGTATGCATCGAATCACGGACATCACTTCCTCTTGCAGTGGATTCTGGGCCACTCCGGTATAATCGGAAACGTGTCCGCCGATAGAGCCGCCAAAGACGCCCACGAGAGCACGATTTCTGTACCTATACCGTTTTCAAGATCTGATGCCAATCATGTAATCAAATCTATTGCAAATGAAATCTCACTATCTTTATGGGGAAATCCGCAATATCACTATTACAGCCTTCTCCGTATTGATCCTAAACTCGAATTCCCTATACCACGAGGACTACCAAGGAAACTTGAGGCAGTGTTACATTGTTTGCGGCTCAAGGTTGCATATACTAAATACTATCTTCATAAAATTGGCAAAGCTGAAACTTTCTATTGTTCATCGTGTAGAACAGTTCATAACATCGAACACTTCCTGTGTGCCAGCGGGGATTACAGTATTGAAAGGACAGCACTAAGACTCGCCTGAAGTTAAAGAAAGAGGACCCGGTAGACTTGAAGCTTCTGTTTGGACTCTGGTCTTCCACCACAGACAGTTACAAGGCTACTGAAGCTCTTTCACATTTCAGTAAGAAGACACATCTTCAAGGAACACTTTAAGGAATTGCAGTCCAGTGTGCTGCAAAGTGAGCCAACACTTGCCAACGTAACATTTCTGTGAGTGTGTGTGTGTATATTGTGTGCGTGGGCGCATTTGTGTTTCTTTATCTCTTTATCTTCTTTCGTTGTACTAATTTCTTTGCTATCTTTCTCTGTACCATTTTTATTTTAATTTCATCTTCTTTCACAACGTAGCAAGCCGGCACAAAGCGCTGGCTTACCTCGCTGTCTTCTTTTCAATAAATGCTTATTCTCTCTCTCTCGTCCTTCCGTCACCGTCAAAGTATGTCTTTGTTACTTTATGTTTCGCCGCACGAGTTCGCCGCATTAAACGTTCATTTTAAGTTTTATTAATCAAGTTTATGCTTTTATGCATGACAATATATCCTATTACGCGTAATAAATTAAAAATAATTCTGTATATTAGAATAACCTTGAAGAATATGTCGAGCTGTCTCCCTTCGATAATCATTGGCGAAGTGTAGCAAGTTCTTGGTTATTTATAATATTTTAATGATCTTTATGTCACAGGAAAGCTCAAACTTTGGTCTTTCGATTGCGTACGAATGCAATGTTATATGCACAAAATAAAATCAGTGATTGACATTTGAATGTCTATAACTGATTTGACTAATTTAAACTAAATAATTCTTTATTTACCATTACATGTGATGGGAAAAAAGTCGGTTATTGTTATAATAAATATTGATATTATTAATGTTGTTAATATTATCCTTTCTTTCTTTCTTGTGCCCAGGAACAGCCGCAGTCTGAATGCTGGTACGCACAAATGCACTCTTTATAAAAAAACGGAAACCCAAAAACGTTTATCCTAATAAAGCTGAATGCTTAGGGCATTTGTAAACGATTATGATTGATAGCAAACGTTTCAAAAGTCTTGCCAATATAAAATATATTTTTTGGTCAAAACCATTATTTTTTTATTATTTTATTTTTCTATTAATAGCAACGTATGATAGGGGTTTATCGTTAAATATAAATTATAATATGTTGTTTTTATGACCGGAAGTAAAGCTTGGCATTGTCAGATATGCGTTGTAAAACGGAAAGCTTTGTTGCGGAGTAAATTAACTTTTACCCCCCGTATTACACAAAATTTTGAATATTTTAAGCTTTCATCGTAAAGGGAAATTCACACCCCAGAGGCCGTAGTTTTTTGTTGTTGTCTAAACCGATGTATGCTGTAATCATAGTCACGCAAAAAAAAAAAAAAAGCCATAAAGCGAAACGAAATTTTCTCACACGCGCGCGCGCCTTTTTATTTCTGGCGTTTTTCTCTCTCTCTTCTTAACTCCTCGATTCGTTTTATTTGTGACCTCAAACATTGTTAAATTTGGAAGCTTTGTAAATGACATTTGTATATCTTATAACGGCTAATAATCCCTGGGTAGTGGTTGTGCTGCACTGGCTAAATTTCTCATCTACATCTTGGAGACAAGTACGTCGTCCGTTGAGGTGGATTAAGTCCTAGGCTGTATGAACAGACAGACACCCCAAATACTTTTCTTTACATACCGAAAGTCGGAGTCCGGACTCATGTCGCTTCATGGCTTTTTACTCTTCCTTGGAAAACATGGCGGCGCTCGTCACATGTAGCACTGAGCAACGTCATTATATTAGCTCAGTTACGAAACTGCTCATAAACGCTGCGTGTACAAACAGGCCCCCTCCCCCCCTTCCCCCCCCCCCCCCCCCCCCCCACTCTGACGACGGCTCGCCTACCGTCGTTCGACGCGCCGGACGGCTGCTATGCTAACTGCAGTGTATTCTATGGCATACGTACGTTTTGATGCACGGCGTCTAGATGGCGTTTCAGCTCTGATGATAATGATGAAATACGTTTATTGCTTTCATAATGAAAGCTCAGGCGATTACTCTACGACATAGCCTAAGAAATCAAAAAATAAAAACTCACATGGTCTTACTGAGGCCCGTTTTCTTCAGGTAAGAAATGACGGATCTCAGCAGCTGGAGTCTTCTTCCGGAATCCCCTGCTGGTTTTATCCATTTATTAAGATTTTTGAGCTTGTCTTTTGAGATCTATTGCTGCATGTGCATCCTCCCTTTCTCTTCTAAAGTGTTGGGAGCACCGCAGGAGGTGATCGATACTGGTGGGGTCTTTTCTCTACAAAAGCTACACTCTGGTGGTTTCGGTATGAATTCCGGGTCTTGTCTCAACTTGTTTTGTGTCTCCCATTTCTGAGGAGGTGCGGGGTTATAGCACTTCCTGTCCTTACCCTTCTCAAGAGAACTGTTTGGTATCTTTTGAGTTCAGAAGGGATGGGGTCCTGTTCTTCGGGATGCCTATTCCGTAGTTGCTGTTGTAGTTGTTTCTTTGCCTTACTTATGGTAGCTATAGGATCGTATTCTTTACTCAATTTTTTTAACATAGCAGAGTACGGGCGATCTCCCTGAGATTGGCCTGGTCTTTCGGAAAGGAGGGAACAACTGCACTCTTCCGCTACTTTGTTGGCGATCTCATTTCCGTTATACGCGTGTGCCCCGGGATCCAACGCCAGAGTATCGTTGCATTCTTCTTCTTCTGTGTTGTTATTGCTGCCTTTAGGATTTTTCGTAATGTCGGGCTTACCGCATGGTGTACCTTACACACTCCAATAACCTCTTGTAAGCGGTAAAAATGGGTATTCTTTTCTTTTCTGTTGCATTGATGCTGACGTGTTCTAACTTCTACTACAGCCAAGACTGCTTGCGTTTCGGCTTCTTCCGGGGTGTCTGCGACTGTTGGGTATCCCCATGTGCTATGTTTAGGAGGTGAAAGGTTATCGTCGCGTTATTGTTGCTGACCGCCGCGTCCGTATAGTATATAGCTACCTCGGGGTCATTGCGGAGGAGCTCAATTAGTTCGTTGTGTTTTACAGCGCAGCTCGTAGGCGCCCGTTTCCGGCTTGAGCGGCGTAGCCGTCGGTGTGACTGCGCGGGGCATTACGGGAAACGTTCCATAATGCTGCGCGCCGATACGTCACGCGACGTTTCGGTTGAAGTCACGTGCCGAAACGTCACGTGACGTTTTGGCACCGCGCCAGAACTTGACGCTTGACGACGCGCGTTTTGCGCGTGAAAGAAGGAGGGGAGGGGGAGAGAGTACGGATGAGGAAGAGGGGCGTACCCTTGCCTCGATACCCTCCCCTACTCCTCCTCAAGAGCTGCGCTCTAAATCGCCGTTACACGAAGTTGTAAACGACTTTCATTTTTTTGGCATATTCTTTTTTTGGTGATCAGGGTCCATGCTCTTGGGAAAGGGCGTGCTTGGAACTACCGTTATCCATTCCCATGGTGGTATCTGTTCCGGAAAGTCCTCCAGTGCGCTCGTGCCTTGATTGCGCAGATTCATAATACGTGGCCATAGTTTCGTCTTCAGCTTCTTAATTTTGTGCATTTCTTCATGTGTCGCTCGTATTTCTTCAAAACTCGGGAAAGGGACGCATTTGTGTAATTCTTCTATCTTGACTTTTCGCGGTAATCCTGCAGTGCACCGTTTCGCATCGTTTAGTAAACTCTCCAGTGTCTGCATGTTATTTTTATCGATCTTGTGAAATCTTTGCACATACATAAATTTGCAGATGAGCACTGTTTGAGTCAGTGTTCGAGCCACGTTTTCTCCCGCCCCTTCGAGTCTATTTGCGATTCTTCTGATTAGCGGTGTTCCTTGTTTCCACGTTTTGGTCATTCTTTGTATCCATTTAGTTGGGTCGTTCTTGACACTGGCCGTTATTCCCAGTATTTGGTGGTCATCTGTCTTTTCCATAGCTTTCCCGTCAAATTCTAGTTCCATGTTGGCAGGTGCCTTATAGCCGAAAATCATGCCTCGGGCCTTTTCGGGCGATGGACCAAATCCAATCGATTTGAGATACTCATTGATCGTGTTTAATCCCTCTTGCAGGATTTGTTGCTGGCGTTTTAAGTGTCCTCTGTTTGTCCATCATCCGTATATACCGTACAGCGAAATCCTTCTATTTTGTTGAGCTCGCACAGTAATAGAGCTATTGCGAGGTTGAACAAGGTCGGTGACATTATCGATCCTTGGGGTAGGCCGATGTTGTTGGACTTTAGGGAGCTGAGGTGCTGACCTACTTTAACGGCATACGTTCTATGTTTCAGAAACGCTTTAACAAAGTTAAGTGGCTTGCCCAGTATTCCTTGGGGTCTGAGGCTATCGAATATGGCTTGGTGTAAGATAGAATCGTAGGCCTTTTAATGTGTACGGCAACGAGGATTTGTACTTGATAGTGCTTTGTCGGATATTTTAGAACTCCCGATTGAGTTAATAGAAGGCTGTCATGCGTCCCGAGATGTTTTCTAAAACCGGTTTGTGCCGGATGGAAGATTTTTTTCTTTTCTGTTATCCAGTCGATGTGGCCGAGAACCATTCTCTCCATTAGTTTACATAGCACCGACGTGAGTGATATGGGTCTCAGGTTCTGTGGTTACGTTGGATTCTTTCCTGGTTTGGGAATTGGTGACACCCACGATAACTTCCAGTTATCTGGTATCGTCCCTTGGTTCCATATTTCGTATATCCATCCTAGTAATTTCTGTATGACATCCGTAGGTAAATTCCGGATCATGCTTCCGCTGATTTGATGAGGTCCGGGTGTGCTTTTTTTTTTCCTTTTTCTATCGTCGTCTCCAACTCGCGAGGTGTGAAATCTACATTACTCGGGTCATTCACGTCGACATCTTCGATCTAGTATATTTGTTGATCAAAGATTTCGACATGAACGACCCGCGTAATGTAGATTTCACAACTTCGGGATCGGAGCTCTGCTGTATGGAACGCGCAGCTATGAAACAAGAACCTAGATGGTGCTTCGAACGACGGGAGGCGAACTGAAGTGGTTGAGGAAGGTACCCCGCTCAATCGGTGAGTTGGCGAATCGGGCAGTGGTCTCTTTTTTAGGTTCCCTACGACCTCTTAACTTTGGACAAGGAAATAGTCAAACAGTCAAAATACTTGGGTTTGGTGTCTGTCAGCGTTACTAAAACACTCAGTTGGGAAGCTCGCCCTTGAAACCAGCACCGCTGGAGTCCAGCGATACATAACTAAATACGATAACAGCGCCACCCTTCAGTCATGAGTTAAAACATAGAAGTTGCTCTATCTAGCTACTGCGAAATGGCCCTGCGAGATGGCGCCACCTAGAGTTCCTGTATAGGCTCCCTACGGGCAGACTTTTACACGTTACTGAAAAATAGTAAGGAATTACATCTACCATTACTCAAGGCTAAATTGTAATTTATTACAATTACAATTACCCTCCCATAAAAGTAAGTGACCGTTACCCCCAAAAGTAATCCGTTACTTTCGTGGCGTTACTTTCAACATTATTTTCCTCAATTAAGAAACAGAGGGAAGAAGGTCATTCAAGCTCCTATTGTTGGCACCTGTTTCATTTATTGACTGAGTATTTTCAGCAACAGCTGACTCGAAAGTCTCGTAATATATTTTGCGTTATTTCTTATTGAAGATGTCCACTGATACGCTGAACACACTTTGGACTGAGGCACTGGATGGGAGTGCCATATTGTGCCTCACGGACGTTTTATGCTGTGCATTGAGCTTTTTCAGCGAAGCAATGGAAGTACTATTTACCTCGAAGATAGAGCAAAGCTTTGTCCTTGCAGCCGTTGCATGATAATTCAGAGTTTTAGAAGAGTTGGTAACAGTAAGGTGATAATAAGGTTTGGCTCGATATTCTTCTTATTTTGGTTCTGAACAGGTCGAGCCTGAATTGAGACGTTGGTGAATAAGAAAAAGTTTCCAATATTTAAATATAAGTAATCGAGAAACGAACAACAACACGACACTTATAACAACAATTAATTAGAACGTGGGTAAAACAAGGGAATGTTAACACACGTTTGCCACGTGTACTTTTCTTGGTGCCGTTCAAAAACGCACGGAGAACGGACCGACTGCAGTTTACACTGGTGTTCTGCAGGTAGACGACCGCTGATGCCACGGGCAGCGAAGGGCAGAGTACTAAGCCGCGCTATGACCCCACTCATGAGTTTCGCTCTCTCCTCAAGCCCAGAATGTAAAGTCAATGTCAACCACCATTATGTTTTATTTGTAAAAATATCTGCTTGAGAAAAGATGTGTCCTGCTGGGGTAAAAACAGGAAGAAGAAAAAGGAAGACTATTACCTTTTTCTAAGTGCTCGCAAAAAGCCGACTCACAAAAAGGGTAACTGAGATGCAGATAACCTGGCTGGAATTCACAAATAAAGTGGGCCAACCCTAAAATTTAGACTACCAACAAAGTAAATATCTTTTAAAACAGGGTCAAATAAGGTGAAAGATGCAGAAAAAATATACATCTTGTTTTCTAAGAGAAGATGATAAGTGTGCACGGACGAACGAGGATGCTTGTGGCAGTAACACCTTCACATATTTGTTGTATCCTGACTGATCATTTTATTAGTACTTCCTCTTCTTTTATGCTAAATTTCCCTTCTTCGTCCTCGTCATCTTCACTCCACAATAAAGCGAGTCTGGTATTGGCTAAAGTATTGGCTACCGCAGCGTTCGGTCGCACATTCCTGACCTCCCGGGTCCACCGAGGACACCACAAACCTTTTTTGGCGACGAGGATGGAGGGATTCGGACTCAAGCCACCTCCAGACTTCTTGGAAAAACCAGGGACTCCGACAATTCCATGCGAGCGATGGATTTCGCTTTTCGAATGCTTTATGGGAGCGTCTGGTGCCCTTCAACTATCCCCGGAACGCCGCCAATAGCTGCTCCGCCACTGCCTGGGATTGGAAGGTCAGCGGATATTCGACACCCTGCCTTCCTCCCGCGCTTTCGCTGTGCCGTCGCAAGCAACGACGTCAGCGGCAGCCAGTTCTCCAGCCAGTTCTTCAGTCGTTGCTACACCGACGAGAAGAGACGGATACCAAGAGGCTGTAGATTCCCTCAGCGCACACTTCCAAACGTCGTGCAACATCAGCCTTGAGCGCCACCGATTTCGCCGGCGCTACCAACGTCGGGAAGAGTCCTTGTCGGACTACTTGACTGACCTCCGAGCATTGGCAGTTCCGGCCAACTTTGGTCCTCAACAGGACGAGAACATCTGAGAACAGTTCACAGCTGGAGTGCTGTCAACTCAAGTTCGTGAACGGCTACTTCTAGACAGCAATCTCCCCTTCGACCAAGCCGTTCAAATCGTCCTCAACATCGAGAGGACGAAGGCCGAGGCCAAGGAGCTGACCATTGCCACAGAACAGCAATCGACATGCCACGTCGCCCATAACGTTCAGAAGGTCGACTATCACCGACAGTTGCCTCGTGGACCTTCGTCCTCCCGTAAGCCGTCGGGATGGAACTTTCCGCCTCAGCGTAATACGCGGCACAGTTCACCGTTCCATCAAGCGTCAAGTGAGTACACTCCATCTACGTCAACTAGATCAACAAACCGCGCTCTGACATGCCATGACCAGCGCTTGGTTCCCCCGATGGCATTAGCGCAAAATTACCGCGCCTTTCAGAAACAAACGCCCATGCGCCGCGAGACGAACTATCGTGACGATAGAAAATGCGCGAACTGCGGGTATGGTATTGAGCACTGTCAAAGCTACGACACTTGTCCGGCACGAGGGAGAACGTGCAACGGCTGCGGCCGATTCGGGCATTTCCATCGCATGTGCCGCAGCACACTTAAGCCCTTACGCCGTCAGAACCGCGTCCAAATTCAGGAAATCTTCTCAGACGAAGAAGACGAACAAGTAGTTCTTTACGTGCCTACGCCTTCGCGGATGGGAATACATATCAGCGTCATAATCTACGGTAGGCCTCTACAGTTCCTCCTGGATACAGGTTCCTCAGTGTCTATCGTCGAAAAAGACATCTTGCAAAAGTACTTCAGTAGTGATGCAAAGGTCGTCCCACCGCCGGTGACCCTGCTCAATTAATCCCGGCAGCGTATCGAGGTACTAGGAGCCTTCTCCGCGTCAGTAGAATTTAAGACACGTTCAGCGAAAGTTCTCTTTTACATTGCGAATATTGGAACGTCGTTGTTGGAATGGATGTCGTGAAAGCTTTGGATCTACAAATTCAAGGGTCCACAATGAGCTGTTTGTACACGGAGGCCGACGAATCAGTACAAAGGTGCCCAAATAGTTTCGAGACCGGCATGGGCTCGAAACTATTTGGGCACGTTTGTGCTGATTCGTCCTCTTCAGTCACAGCTCTACGAGTCCTCCTCAGCAGCACGAGGAGCCGTCGACGCTGCGTTCAAAACCGTCTACCCAACTCACAGAGAGAGACGAGTCATCAGAAGCTATAGAAGCTGCACGGAGGTCGCGTTTACGATCCCAAGAGGCTTCGTCTTCTTCGAGAGGTTTGACGCCGGTAGCTTCCGATTCCGAAACCAGAGAACTTTCGCCGACTCGACCGGGCCTCCCGACGTCTTTGAATGACTTCTGTCATCTCTTCACCCCTGAGCTGGGCCTTGCCAAAGGCTACACTCACAAGGTGAAGATCCAGAGCTCAGTGCGACCCGTGCAGCACAAGATGCGTCGCATCCCATTAATGGCACGAAAACCTGTCACGGAAGAAATTAAGCGCCTTGAAGCAGCAGGAGTAATTGAACGCATCAGCGCATCCGAATGGGTTTCCCCTATTGTTGTAGCAGAAAAGAAAGATGGGTCAATCCGGATGTGTGTAGACCTCAGGGAAGCTAACAAGGCTGTCGTTATTGACAGCTACCCTTTGCCTCACATCGAGGAGCTTTTGAATGCGCTGCACGGGGCAAAGCGTTTCTCCAAATTGGACGTGGCGTCAGCATACAACCAAGTCACCCTTCATCCTGAGAGTCGAGACTTAACAGCATTTATAACAGACGAAGGCCTTTTCCGCTTCAAGCGTGTTTGCTTCGGCCTCGCGTCCGCGCCAGCAACATTCCAAGAGGTGATGGCAGCAATTCTAGAAGGATGTAAAGGAGTTTTATTTTATCTTGATGACGTCATCGTCTTTGGAAAGTCCAGAGAAGAACACTTACAGCGACTGCACCATGTTCTGCAGCGTATCGCTTAGGCCGGACTAAAACTAAACAACAAATGCGTTTTTGATGTGCCCGAACTCTCCTTTTTGGACCATCACGTCAGCGGAGAAGGAATCGCTCCACTTAAACAGAAACTGGACGTCATCAACGCGACTCCCATCCCGACAGACACTACACAACTAAGATCATTCCTAGGGATGGTAGAGTAATATAGCCGTTTTGTCCCTCGTCTTGCAGCAGAAGTCGAGCCCCTGCGCAAGTTCTTGCGGAAGGACATTCCTTTTATATGGGATGCCGAAGCGAACACCTGCTTCACGAAGATCAAAAGTCTGCTGTCGTCAGCACAGATTTTGAAGATGTTTGATCCCAACCTTCCCATAATCGTCTCGACGGACGCATCTGGCTACGGACTCGGCGCCGTACTTCAACAGCGCAATGGGAAGGAAGTACAAACAGTCGTTTTCGCCTCTCGGACGCTAACAACTGCAGAGCGAAAATACTCAGTGGGCGAAAGAGAAGCGCTCGCGTGCCTGTGGGCCTGCGAACGGTGGCACAACTACCAGTGGGGCCGGCGTTTCACTCTTCAAACGGACCACCAGGCCCTAGTGACGCTGTTGGCAGCACGTGGAACAGGCCATCGACCACTCCGAATAACAAGGTGGTCGACACGCCTTCTCCGCTACAACTTTGAAGTCAAATTCCAAGGAGCCGAAAACCAAGTTGCTGACGCGCTTTCCCGCCTTCCTCAGCCGGAAGATGAAGGCGGCACTGAATTTGAGGAAGAGATCATTTCTTACATCGCACTGCAAATCGAATGCATAACAAAGCTTCAACTGCAAGAGGCCACAGCCAAGGATACAGTCTTGTCGAGTGTGATGTCCTTTGTTACGTCTGCGTGGCCTCCAAGACGAACCTTCTCATCTGACGTAATATCATTCTACGACGTGAAGGACGATCTTGCCGTTGACGACGGCATCGTTCTGCGCGATGAGAGATTTGTGATACCCCGAGAGCTTCAAGGTACTCTCATCACCAAGGCGCACGAGGGGCATCCTGGTATTGTCAAAACCCGCACCAGACTCCGCGAACTCTACTGGTGGCCAAAGATAAATGATCAAGTGGAGCAGGTCATCCACGCCTGTAACATTTGTCAGGCATCTGACAAAAGCGTGAAGACCTTCGCGACTCCACTTCAACCAGTATCTTACCCCGATCGACCGTGGTCTAAGGTTGGAATGGACATTGTGGGATCTTTCGAGCGTGCAGAACCATCATGCCGCTACGCCATAACTGTAGTCGACTACTTTTCCAAATGGCCCGAAGTACAATTTTGTGCCGACGTTACCACAACAAGAGTGACAGAGTTTATGCATCTGGTTTTCTCCACAGAGGGTTTCCCAGAAAGCATTGTTACCGACAACGGCCCACAAGTCATTTCCAAACAGTTCAAAGAATTCCTAGGATCTCGAGGAATCAAGCACCACTTGATTTCCATATATCACCCGCAAGCCAACGGGCAAGTTGAGAGATTCAACAGAACACTTAAGGGTTTCATCCAGTGCGCATCTAAAGAAAAACGAAAAATTAGGTCAGCGGTGGTGGCCTACCTAGGCATCTACAGATGCACGCCTCATGCCACAACTGGACTGTCCCCCGCACTGCTCCTCCATGGTCGCAAGCCCCGGACTCGACTGAATATATTAGGGCTGTCGTAATCCCAATTCCTCCGCAACCCCTTCGAAGAGGTTCAGCGACTTTGACAGCGATTCCAACAAGCAAAAGAAAAGACCAAAAACGTATACAGACAAGAGAAGAGGAGCAAAAACTCCTAATTTTAAAGTTGGAGACCTGGTTTGAGTGAAGAAGCCAGGGCATATTCGAAAAGGATCGAGGTCGTTCAGCAGCCCTCTTCGAAAATTAGAACGTGTGGGTCGCTGGACATTCAGACTCGAAGATGGGCGAGTGTGGAACGCTTCTAAGTTCGCCGCCGTCCCGCAGCCTTCGTCTCCCGGCCCTATTACCAATCAAGCTTCAGATATCCGCATGAAGACTAGAAAAGCTGATACGGGATCTGACCATCACAGCTGGCAACCACGAGCTGGACCGTCACGCCGACGGAATGAGCCGAGATCACTGGCTCAACGCGGGTTACCAGCGGAGTCACCTCCGCTGCCACATCCTCTACCTGGCGGACCACTGGCGGAGTCACCCCTGCATCCTGTCGCGGGATTGTCAGCTGCGCCATTTACGCCGCCCAGGATGGATGCTCTTGGAGACAGGCCAGAGCGACCCCGCCGAAAACGACGACCACCGGAGCGTTTGGGCTATGATGTTGGCTGTTAGACAAGTTGAACAGCGTTACGAACGACTGCGTCAACGGTGTGCTTCCGATATTGAACTCTTTTATGAAGAACTGTGTTGACTGTGTGACTCTGATATGAACCGTAGTTATTTCCGTACTAGTAATCTTTTTCCTTCATTATTATCATTAGGTTAGTTATCGTCTTTCGTATTTCACTTCTACTATACTTTTATTTTGCTTCCTTTATCTTGTTTCATATTACACTGAATTTCTCAAATTGGGAGGGGGGAAAATGTTGTATCCTGACTGATCATTTTATTAGTACTTCCTCTTCGTTTGTGCTAAATTCCCCTTCTTCGTCCTCGTCATCTTCACTCCACAATAAAGCCAGTCTGGTATTGGCCACCGCAGCGTTCGGTCGCACATTCCTGACCTCCCGGGTCCACCGAGGACACCACAATAATGTCACATCTCTTTTAGTGGATTTTAGGGCAGACGGAGCGTTGTCTCGTGTTGTGACATTATGAAAATGGTCGTAGTCACTATAACCGAGAAGGACATTGTTAATTCTTGCCTGTGCACTTACCGCATTGAGCTTCTCGAAGAAGCATACAATCACTTGGTGTCTTCCTCTCTCCGCCTTCGATCACAAAGAAAAAACAAAAACACATACAAAAAAAAAAAAAAAAAGCGGACATAACCTGCTTCCCCCCCCCCCCCCTTTTTTTTTTTGTAGAAATGTTCGGTTGGATCTTTTGACATTGTTCTTAGGGTCTAAAAAAATAGTTTCAGGGTCTCGGTGTTGCAAAAAAAGGCTTTGCGGAACTGAAGTCTGCCAAGCCTCTGTTCGTGCTGGTCAATTCGCGTGACAGTGTCACTGCGCTCGACTTTACCAAAATAAAAACGACGTTTTGTTTAGAAGGGGGGGGGGGGGTCCTGAAAAAAAATGTAACGGATTACAAGGAATGCGTTACGTAAAAAATGTAAGGGAAGTACTTTAAAAAAATTACTCTAGAAAATATGTAATTATTCCGTTGTTAAATTACCGATAAATGTAAGGGATTACAAGTAATT